TCTCGAAATTCAGAAATTTTTACATCAATACGACCCTTATCTCGCCACGAGTCTATACATACCAAATTCACAAAAATCGGAGTTCATTTGACCCCTCAAATCACCATTTAATTCTCTTAAGTTTCAAGCCCTAAACCACCATTTTTGTCCATAAATTACTTGAGTTTTCAGCTCTAATCCATGTATTTAACTTGGAAATAAGTAGAAACAACTCACCTTTGATGCTTGATGAAATCCCCCTTGAAATTCTCCCCAAAATAATCCAAGCCAAATGAAAGAAATAAGCCAAATCCGTGTTTAAAATAATCTGCCCGTGCTTCGTCGAGTTGCACCTTGCACTTGTGCTATACAAGTTGTACATCCTATTAAAATTGTTTCTTGTCGGACACTTTCTGTTTAAACACCCATAACGTCTTGTATAAATATCCAAATGACAAACGGTTTGAAGATTTAGAAACTAGACTCCAAGATCTTTAATTTGATAGGTTGTACACCATATAACTCTTTATATATCCCGAGATATGAGCTTCTAAATCGGCTCCATGAAATCAGAAAATTTCTGGAGAAACTGCTCCACCAGTCATCTTCAATAAATCATACCTTTCTCTACAAATGTCCAAATTACTATTTCTTTAGCTTCATGGAAACCAGATACAAAGGTCTACAACTTTCGTTTTTGAATCATCTCAAAATTCCTTGTAGATCAAAAGATATAGGTCTCCGAAGTACGCTCCACGACTGCACATTGCTGTCCAAAGACAGCTTAGCAGCAGAAATTGCAGCAGCTTTTATTTTCACTAAAAAGGCTCTAACTCCAGCATACGAACTCGGAATTAGACGATTCTTATTCCTATGAGTCACAAATAATAATACGAACACAACACATCAATTGAAACTCAATTCGGAGCTCGTTTGCCCAGTTCAATAGCCATTTCGCTCGTTAAACAATTAACTCACATGTCACGTCAAAAACCCAATTGCGACTTGATGAAATTAAACCAAAATTTCCAGATCAGTCCTATAATTCATAATTTAAATTTTGGAAGTCTCGAAATCAAATTTGGATCTCTAGAACTAAAAATGGACCCTTGGATCATTACATGCTTATGCTCAAAACGACAAAAATCTTCCAAAAACTCTTCCAAAACTTATCCGAGCCTCATGGGACCCCGACCAAAAATGCCAACATAATTCATAACATCATTAAAACCTGCTCAAATCATCAAAACACCTCAAACAACATCAAATTACCCAAAACTCATCGAATTCAAGCCTAAGTTTCCAAAAACTTCCGAAAATACACTTTCGATCAAAAACCCGACCAAACGATGTCCGAATGACCTGAAATTTTGCACACACATCACAAATGACATAACAAAGCTACAACAATTCTCGGAATTCCATTCCGACTCCCGGATCAAAATCTCACCTATCAACCGGAATTCGCCAAAATACTAACTTCGCCAATTCAAGCCTAATTCTACACCGGACCTCCAAAATTACTTCTGATCACACTCCTAAGTCACAAATCATCCCCCGAAGCTAACCGAATCATCGGAATTCAAATCCGAGCCCTCTAACACATAAGTCAACGTTCGGTTGACTTTTCCAACTTAAACTTCCTTAAAAGAGACTAAGTGTCTCAAACCTTACCAAAATCATTCCGGAATGACTTCAAATTTTGCACACAAGTCACATTCGACATTACGGACTTGTCTCATCTTTCGAAACCACATTCCGACCCCGATATCAAAATTTTCACTTCCGGTCGAATTTTCTCAAAAACCTTCAAATTTCTATATTTAGCCAAATGACTTCAAAATGACCTCCGGACATCCGAATTCACTTCCGATCGCGCTCCCAACTCCAGAATCACCATATGGATCTATTCCCAGACTCGGAATCCCAAACGGACATCTATAACACTAAAATGCCTTTCAACCCAAATTTATGAAATTCTTCTAAAGTACTAACTTTCACAATATACACCGAAATGCTCACGGGTTACCCAAAACCAAATCCGGACATACGCCCAAGTCCGAAATCATCATACGAACATGCTGGAACTTTCAGATCCCAATTCCGAGGTCGTTTACTCAAAATTCTAATCCTAGTTCATTTCTTCAATTTTAAGCTTTCAAAATGAGAATTTCCATTTAGATTTGACTCCAAACTTCCTGAATTTTAATTTTGACCATACACACAAGTCAATATACCTGAGATGAAGCCGCTCATGGCCTCAAACTGTTGAATGACGCGCCGGAGCTCAAAACGACCGGTCGGGTCGTTACAATAAGATCTTTAAAATTCTATTTATTTGGATCACTGAATGACGAAAAGTTTGTTCAAGTTTATTCTTTCGACCGTGCAGATACGCAAACAGATATAGGCATCTAGCAGAACAAGTAATATCATATTTGCCACAAGGAAAGATATTTTTACCTCCAACAAAATACATGTATTAGTGATAGCTTAATAACTCTATATATCTGCTGAGGTACAGGAAGCTAGCCTTGTTGATGAAACAGTAGAAAATTCTTCCTCGTTCCATGGGTTTGTTGTTCTATCGCCAAACTAGATATCATATCACATACTAAAGAATCGGTGACTAATTTTGCAACAAGAACTACACCAGCAGATTTCAGTCTGCATCACCCGTGTTTATAAGTAATACAAATACATGTACAGGGTTGCCTCTGGATGAGGGCTCTACATTCATTAATTTATCAATACCTCTTATAAACCCAAGCTTCAACATCAAGAACTTGATACTTGAAAGATTTGGAAGCCAATAATATCCTTCAAACCATACGGAGCCCCATGAAGAGGACCTATAAAGAATAGAATCAAATAAATGTTTTCCTTTGAGCAAATTCAGAGAAAGCTAATTGTATATGAAGTTTTCTAATTAAGATAAAAAAAACCCGACAGGATTCATTTCTTAGAATAAAGTGAAAAGTGCTGGAATAATGGAGGATGTTGAGAATAGGTAAAATGCTAATAGTAGCAAGGGTATACAAGAAAGGAAGAGGGCAAAGGGGAAGAGAGGAAGGATGAATATCACCCAAATATTTGCCTTTTGAAAGCAGTTGATCGACTTCTTTTGCTTGTTGATATGCTAATTCTTCAGTAATTTTGATAATGGATTCAAGGACAGGACCGTACCTCTGAAGCTCCGGAATTGCACATCATTTTGAGAATCAAATTATTCAATAATAAATAAAGCAGATTACATGAAGGAAATCATTCACTATACCTTTTTAATCTGTCCAAAAATATTTCTGTTAGCACGCTAGTGTAATTAATTTTTCCTTTAAAAGTTGCCCAAGTTCAGCAATTTGATATAACATATCATGTACTCAATTAATAAAATTTAAAATGGCATACATTGGTACAACATAGTTACTTAGTTAATATCTCCTATAAGTTAAAAAGACTAATTTCATTAGTCTTATCTTTTAGGACAACATAAGTAAAACAACTGTACAGATTATTACTGCTGGTGTAAAGGAATCACAATATTTCAAAAAAGAGCAATTAGAGAATGAAATACTAACAAAGAGGGCTCCGGCGAGACAACAGAGACCACTGTTGTAAATTAATGGGAATGGAGACAACTGATCAGCTGAGTAAAATTCTGTACCAGTAACTCTCTTGGTTTTGGATATTAGGAGTGGAAGTTACAGATTCCATGTATTTGTAGTACCTTTGCTTGCTCATTAATTTCAAACTTTGATGTATATCATTCAATGGTGCTTTGCTTGAGCATAAGCAATACCACATATCAGTTCCATATTGCTGGAAGCTTCTATGCTGCACTTCATTGTAGACTTTTTTACATGTCCCTATACAGATAAGTCACCTAAAGGCTAAAGGTATATATAGCTTTGTTGGGCAGGACTAAGCCATGTATATATAGATGACCACATATGCTCAAATGACACCAGTATCCAAGACTTTTAAGTTATTTTCCCAGAAATGCATAATGGAGTTTACTGAGATTGGTAATATCCAAATAAAGTAACTAAATAATAAGAGTATGAAGAATAGAAAATGTTATTAGCTCAAACGTCTCGAAGATACCCTGACAGCATGTGCCTATAGGAGCAATTTGTAAACATGATGATAATCTTTAAGGATGAAACAGAAATCAGCTTCAAGGTCCATATTTCAAAAAGACTGCAGATTTGTGGATTGAATTTTTGTGGTTTTTTCATTTGATAGCCAATTAGCTTAACTTTTCAGTCCCATCACCACCTTTGAACAATTTACCAGCACATATAAGGCTGATCATTTCAAGGGTGATCCTATTGCAACTTTTCTTGTTCCTATTTTTTGTTCAGATATTCTTAATAAATACTACGAAAGCAGGAAGCAAAGCCAATTAAAAAAAGGGGAATACAATAATAGAGAAAGCCTTACCATAAGTATTGATATTGACAGAAAATGAAATCAAAGAGAGAAATCGAGAGTTAACGGAGAAAATACAGAGGTCAAGAACAATTTTGATATTGATGGAGAATTGAAGGAGTGAATAATTAGCAGTTGTTATGCATTGTTAGTTCACTGCCAGCGTAGTCTCCATATTCTAGTGTATGTGTAGGTCAGCAAAATTCCACCGTAAGATTTTAGATCACAATAGACATATCCTGTTCTTCAAACAATTATGATTGGGAAAGTATACTTAGGCGTAACTGGACCCCGAGTGCCCTCGAGGCTTACGAACCAACTATAATCTCAACTTTATCTCGCAATTTTCAATACAATTATATATTCTGAAAGTATACATAGATGATACTAAGAGAGATTTGATAGTTTGAGGCATGATCCAAAGAGTAACTGAGGCCATTCAACAACGCTAACTTCACTCATCTCTACTTTATGACCTTAGAATGAAGCAGTATATATGTTATGTGAGATATGATAGAGTATAATAAAAGGAAAGGTGAAAGAAAAAAAAAACTGCTCTTTTCAGCATCTACTTTCGATTGCTCTCCTTTCTCAAACCTCTGACAAAATCTTCCAGACTGATGTCCTAGAATATACCACCTTTTGTCATTTGTGAATGAGCTTTCTAGAAAAAGGAAAAAGAATTATAATAGAGCATGTGTAGGAGGAACAAACCTCCTCAGTACTGAAAATGTCTTCTAAAAGACAGAAAAATGATGTGATAGTTCACCATTCTTAGATGATATTCTAACCCCTTTGGCTGCTTAAGTAGCGCAGAGAAACACATTGGTAAGAATAAGAAGACATATAACATGATAAACTTCCAGATTCATTGCTAAAGTCTTAAATAGTACACATAGTGAATGTAAGTTGACTAAACAGTGGCAAGTAGAATAACTGAAGGCAGATACATGGAAGGATATTAAATCACCTGTTTTTTTCTAGCCAAATACCTCTTAAAGGATCCATGAGTTGAAGTCGAATTCTGTTGGCTAGGCTCTCCCATAATTGATGGCTTCTCATCATTAATTCCTTTTATTAGTAGCTGATAATTTGTGTACCTTCCATATGTATCCTTGACGTAGAACCAGCTGAAATGCAACGATAATGTAAATTAAAATCCACAATCAATCAGTCAAGACACTGTAAATCCAACCGATCAAATTGAATGGACAATCAATATCCAATTCGAAAGTATCCAGCTCCAAAATTTCACAGGTTGTGTAACCGTTTCGTAGAAGAGCCAAGATTATGTGCAAAACTATCAATATAAGAAGCAAGAAGTTCACCGCACAACAAAGAATTATCAACATGATTTGCATCAACTTTTTGTGATTCTCCAGCCAAACATGTGGGGTACTCCATTTCACACTTAACTTTAGCATCAGAAGACTGCCCTGGTTCTTTGGCAACTTCCACTTCGTAAACAACAAAATGAAAATCAATGTATAGAAAATGCAGCAAAATGCACACAGGTAGATATAATTACTTGGAAGTATGTTCATGAGTCTAATACTTGCAATTTTGTAAATCGAAATAAAGTAGTCAGAAGAGTTTAACTATAATTTAATCAAAATGTATAACGTAGTAGTTTGATACGTTCTGCCCGCTTTATTCCAGGTATATGACATGTCCTTATCTTGTAAAATTTTGGAATGCAAACGCAATTCCTAATCAATAAGCACAAAAAGAAAGTAGAAGTTAGTCACAGTAAAACTAAAATTGGTAAGTATTTTGATACATATACATAAAGTTAGCGATGTTGCTTTTAAGAGACATAAACCCTCCTCCTTTGTTTGGAATTGGGTCCGGTTGGGTTACAGTATAAATGGAGTTCCTTTTGGTTCTTCACATAAGAATCAGCTGTAATAGTTAAGCGAGAATCAATCTTATAGAAAAAAAAATGTTAAAACAACCATCAAGTTTTTCAAGTATGTCACCAAGCAAGTATCTAAATGATATGAATACATCAGCTATAACAATTTTTTTTATTTTCCGTTAGTGAGCTTTAAATTTTTTTCACATGTAGTAGTTATGTTCTAAATTATTGGCATGAAAGAACCTAATAGTATTGATGCAAGAAAATGCATCTGGATTATCAAATAATATTGAAGCAAGAAAAAGAAAGTAAGATAGATGGACAAAATAAGACAGAGATGGAGCAGATTATACATGCCATAAAAACAGTAAAATCAAATAGATACAACATTGAGCTATTTATTGCGCATTAAAAAGAACGATAAAAGTTTAGCAAGGTTTGCAAGAACAGAAGTTAACATTTTGTTATTACATAGTAAAGGTGCAAAAAATATGTTTCAAGATGAATCGTTAAATGAATAATAAGCATACAGGTAATGGTAAAAATACCTCTGTAACAACATCAGAGTAATTTCTGGGACGATGCCAAACCTCAAGCCAATTTGTCATGAATTATATGAGCTCATTACAAGAACAAAACTTGGGGCCATCCAGTGGAACTATTTATGGAAAGCTTTTTGAATGATTTCATTATACACTATATAGTAAGTTGAATGATCATCATCGCTTTCTGTTGTGGCTGGTTGAATTAATAGTTTTACACAATTGGAACTTTTTTCTCTTGATAGCGCTACGTAGAGCTGACCGTGGGAAAAAACAGGTTCGCGTAAATAAACTCCCACGAAGTCCAATGTTTGACCTTGAGCTTTATTTATTATCATAGCAAAACATAATCTCATAGGAAATTGTGTTCTTTTGAAAGGAATAGGCAATTTTTCATCTGCTAATGATAATAATGGTATTCTGGGAATAAATACATGTGTATTCTTAAAGTCCCAAGTGGCAATTTTAGCACTTATAACATATTTTCGAAGATCACAACATATAAGTCGTATACCATTGCATAAACCTTCACATGATTTAAATTTCATAACAACACAACAATACAATTCTTTTTCAAGGTCAATTTGTGGGGAGATAAACCAGCAGGATATAAAGTATGCAAAAAATCTTCATATTGACTTTGATCGTTTGCTTCAATAGTCTCACCAAATGCAACATATGTTTTAGGATCACCAGGAAATTGAGCTATGAGCAAATCATTTATTTCATCAACAAAGTCATTTTTGGTTGTCAGAATTACATGCGAAGTTATAGAGGATGCATCGGAAAAACATGTATGTAGATATGGATAAGTAACTCTAAACAACAGATCTAATGATTGATTTTCAGAAATGAAAGGGATAAGAAAACAATTAGGGATTTCAATTTTGTTATGGCTATTTGTTTTTTCTTGTCCATTTCCAATTCTCATAAAAAATTCACAAAAGGTAGGATCTGTCTTTGCATGCATATTTTCTGATAATCGTAGTTTTTCTAATTGATTCCAAATTTCAGAATATAATAAGCTTTCTTGAATAAAATCTTCTTTTTTCCCACTCCTAATAACCGGGAGAGTTGTCTAAAATCATCACCGAAAATGACCACTTTTCCTCCAAATAGAGCATTTGTATCCATTAGATCCTTCACGAGAATATCAAAAGTTTCTATCACTTTCTTTTTTGCCATAGATACTTCATCCCAGACAATCAGTTTTGCATCACGTATTAAAGCTGCAAGTGCACTTTGCTTACTAATGTTGCAAGAATATTGTTCATCGATATCAATAAAAAATTTAAAGCGGGAGTGAGCAGTTCGTCCTCCTGGAGAATCGAAGCCGCAACACCTGAACTTGTTGTTGCTAAAGCGACAAAACCTTTTGATCGTATAGCAACTAATAAAGTACGATATAGAAAAGTTTTTCCAGTTCCTCCAGGCCCGTCAACGAAAAATGCTCCCGATTTGTTAGAAAATATCCTATCAAGAATGATGTCATACGTTTTTCGTTGTTCAGTATTTAATTTCTCTCTAGAAGTAAATCTTCTTCTCTAACAATGATATTTCTTTCAAACTAACAGTCATTGGTTTCTTTGATAGCAGTTGAAGGTTTAATTTTCTCAGGAATAAGATTATAATCATTAATATCACGTCCCATCAAATGCAAAACATCATTAATATGATTTAAAGTTATAAAACGAATATCTTTAGCATTCATGTTAGGTAGAATCTTAAAATCTTCGGATATTGAATCTTCAAATTGTTTCCAAAGTTTTGCTGGATTAGCGGGATTACAGTACACCAATAATGTTGTAAATAAACGCCTTAAACTATACGGCATTTGATAATTTGTAGCTTCAGACATACATTCTACCAAGTTCTTATCACAGTGTAACAATCCTTTTTTTTTCTACAGCCTCTCTAAATGTATTATAACATTTTCCGTCAACTTTACATAAGTCCTGATATGATTTTGGTCCTCTAACGTTCATCAACAATAATCTAAGATAATATCTTTCTCCTTCTGTTGGATGACATGTTATAACACGTCCAATTACATTACGTTGTTTTCGACGTGTCCACATTTCTTCCTTAAATGACCATACAAAGTACTCAGGAAATTCTTTATATAATAATAATAGTTGCATAGCATCTTTATTTGTTCTGTTCATAACAAAGAATTCAGTTAACATTGCTTTTTGAATCATTGGATTACTCAGTACTCTATCAATATTCTCAATACTTTTAAAAGAGACAAATTATTGTCCTTCTAAATGTAACTGAAGATTAAAAACGCTTGGAGTCATTTCACTTATTGGGAAACGAAATAATCGCCACGCAGCTTCTAGAGGCGAAACCCATCTAGCAGATTGATATTCTTTTATTTCATCTATGTTTGTATCTGTATCACTACCATGTATATGAAATGTAATTTTATCGTGTCCTTTGCAAATATATTTGTAAATATATTTCACTACCTTGATATCAGAACAAACTTCAACATTCATATGACAATTATACTTGCATAGCAAAAATGGATTATATGGAACTATCCAAGAATTATCGAGAAACTCACCTCTTACTTCTACAGCTTCTCTGGTTCTTCTCCTTCTGTATATTGGATATGAATTCTTCCCTTTTGATGTTTGTTCAGCAAAATCTTTTGGATACTTGAATTTGCAGTTATTATTTTTCATGCAAATATTTGTAGGATTTACCTTTCCACAAGGACCATGCATCATATGTTTAATAACAAGTGAATATAGATCGCGATCTTTTTTAGAATCAAGCAATTCTGCACAGACAAATTTATCATAAGATTTAGGAGTCAGTAATTTGTGTTCATCAGCAAGTATAATAAGGAAATGAGCATGTGGAAGACCGCGTTTTTGAAATTCTATAGTATACATGAATCCAGCAACTCTTCCAAAGATTTGTCTTTTTAAAATATCTGTCTTTAATTCTTCTACCTTTGCTCTGAAAACTCTACTAACTAAATCAGCTATGTTTTGTACCTCATCAGTTAGTGACAAATGTTCTTTTATTTCTGGCCAAGAAGGATTACAAGTCATTGTTATAAAGAAATCAAGTTTTCCAAAATATTGTATCAATGCGATAGCATCCATGTATCGTCGGTGCATGTCCCTTGGTCACCCTATAAATGTAATAGGGAGGAACATTTTGTTTCCAATTTTAGAGGCTTCCCTTTCACCAAATCTTAAAATATCAAGGAGTCCTTGCAAGACTTTGATTCTAAATAAATCTGGATTAAATGAGAAGGAGTCTAATCTTTGTGTTTCAAGTTTTATATATATATCTACTATAAACTGTTGGAATATTCTTTCACAATGTATCACTTCATTTGTTTCATTATCTCTTATTTGAAATTTATAACAGTAATACTCTCGACATGACACTGTATCTCTTTTTCGTTTTTCTTTTTGTAATGATTCGTCTTCCATATCAAAAAATCCATCAACTGAACATATGTTTGATATACTGCGCAACTGTTCATGTTCACAGTAAGCTCTACGTTTCGTCACATTATTTGTTTGAATAATTTTTTTTATTCTACAATGCCATCCATTTTCACTGAAGGGAAATAATAACGGATATTGCAACGGATCATAACATCCATAATAATAATGTACTAATCGAGCTCCATTACTGTGGGTATAAATTCGAATATATGGTGCAGAAATATCTGTAGAATTTTCTTCAAGCCATAATGCTGCAACCTCTGATGAGCTGGGTAAGTTATATGTCCGTTGATCTAATGGTGAGTGACATTTAAGAGCTATAGAGAAATCAGATAATTGGGGAACATTTAAGAGAGATTTTAGGAAAATAGTGTATGGATTTACTTTCAATATGTCCATCAACTTTTTCATTATTGATTCATTAATTCTTGTCGAACAAGCCATCCTATTAGCTAGTTCATTATCATGATCATAGAAGTACAACTGTAAATTCCTGGGTTTTTCATTAGAAGGAATTAAATCATCTATAAAATGATACATTTGCCCCTGGACTCTAAATGTATAGATACCGCAATTTCTTCTCGCTAGCTCTTTATCATACTTTACACCAAGTGAAGTAAATGCAAACATGTTGTTGTACATTCTAATATAAGTTCGAAAGTTTTCAGATTCTTCAGTATTTCCAAAGTATAACTCTGATAATTCAGGTGGCATTTTATGAGATGTCAACCTTATTGCACCACTGTTGCAGCAAAATCCTGGACTTTCATATTCAAACCTCTTTGCATGACAGTATTGGCAGTGCGGCACGTTTTTTAGAGCAACATGGTCACTTCGTTGCTCTTTAGCAGCCAGACACACCTTTTTGGCCCGGCTATGAACTGAATATGTAAGAAGTATCATTAAAAAAACGAAACACGAAGGCATACATATGGTGGACATTATTATAATATAAAGTTTATGCAAACCTTTGATTGGAACAGCGTTCAAGCAAACAAGAGGCAGTTTAGATGTACCCGACGTGGACCCTTATATATAAATAGTCACAGATTACAGTAATGTACAAACAATATGTTATTCTCAAAGAAAGTATAATCTAAAGGCAGGTTTACCTGTTTCACGAATGATAGGGGGATCCAATATAGACTTTTCTTTTTCTAGATTATCCATCACTGTAGTCGTGCAAGTTTGAAGACTGGCAGCTAGTAAATAGAATAGCCAAGACGTTTACAACCATACAGTGAAGCCGCATTAGATACAAAATAAAGTGTAAAACATCATGTGGTATTTTTGTATTTTAGTTTATAGGCACATATAAGATAAGTAAGATATCATACTCAATCTCCAAGCAAAATTAAGAAGCATCCTTGTCCTAATAATATATAGTGTATAAACATGAGTACAACAATATAACCTTTTTAACGAAGAGAAGGATATGGTTACCTGTTTCACAAATGATAGGGGTATCCAATATACCCTTTTCTTTTTCTAAATTATCACACAATGTAGTCAGGCAAGCTTGATGTTTGGTACCTGGTAACACAACAGCGAAGGCATTTAAAAACGTACAGTGAAGCTTCAACAGGTGCTAAATAGAGTGCAATAGAGCACGTACTATTTGAGTATTTTAGCTTGTAGGCACATAAGATAAATAAGGTATTATACTAAGTTTTCAAGCAAAATACATAAGAACTATTGTATTAATAACATATGGTTTCTAAATATGAGTATAACAATCTAACCTTTTTCCGCAAGGGAAGGAGATTCTAGTATGGTAAGAGCAGTTTGTTTTAGAAATCCTGTTTTGTCCCAAGATGATGTTGCCTGCTCTGGGACAGCAACAATCGGACTTTCAAAAAGGCTGTGCTTTGCAAAATTTTGTCTTCTCATACGTCGTGATAGCAACATCACTTTCCTTCTACGAGTAGATATATGGCTCTGCGTATCACGCCGTTTGAGCTGCATTGCAGCCTTCCTTTTTTTTTTTTGCGTATGAGTACTTGTTTGGTTCTTTGGAATCCATCAGTTTATGGTAGTTCAATTTTCCTTTTCACCTATAAATATTTCTAGCAGAAGTTTTCATGAGATGTTTAAAAAATAAATAAATTATATTTTTAATATCACGAAACACATTATCTATTAAATATTCTATCTAGGAGACCAAAAAATGGCATACTGATCACTGAGGGCTCATGTCTCAGAGACATGTCATACATCACTGGCAAATAAATTGGCTTTATATTAATTTGTATATCCTTAAAAATCCTCATTAATGGTTTTGGTTATGAAATCATCCTAGTAAATCCAACAAAGCGTTCATTTCAACATCTTCTTATCTTATTATTATTATTATTATACCTAATACCAGCCTGAATCCTTGTCCAGTATAGTCATCATAAGTATATGTGTACCTTGCAATTGAACAAACAGAGTAAAAATATTGTTCTTTAAAATTTTAAAGCTATTTGGAGCAAATAGACTGTCATCCTCTACATTATGAAGGGCCCCTTCTTTATGCTTTATTTATTTTCAATAATGGCTGTTCCGAAACTTATATAGCCAGAACAGCCCCCGATGTAAAACCTCTACTACTTGTCTTTCTTAACTTTTAGCTAGCACATTCTGCGTTAAAGAACTCACATAAGATAGATTCTGGATCAACACCTGAACACAAATTCCCAACGTTCTTGAAATATGATAATTTTTGCAGCAGCATTTCATATGAAAATTTGAAACAAGATCAAACCTTTAAAGCAAGAACTGAGTGAAACAAAACAAACTACTATTGAAAAGAGACAATGATAATCATCTATGAATGACAAAAAAGCATTTGCCATAATAAAGTTACAACGTTTATCGGCTTTAAAAAAACTTGTAAAAAGTTAAGATTATACTTTAGCCTTTGACAGACCCAGGTTGACATAGGAGAGACCAGATAATTGCTACAAAGTCTTCTTGCACTACATTTTCAATTGTTTTGATCAAATAAAGCCACGTTAACTCTTTAATGTTGAGGCTACTATGCACCACCCAAAAAAAAATTGATGCCAGAAATCCGTTAGAAGAAGAACATGAATAATACCAAGAGGCACTTTAAGCTAGCTAATATCGACTTTGAAGAATTCGTTCAGCTCTTTCTCTTTGGCTATCGAATTATGATTAGTGTTGTGCCCTTTCATATTGAGCCCAGCAAACAGATCTACATCTATAATTTTTTCTTTAATTCAGGAAAGAATCCAACTTGAGACTTTGCGTTTATATAAGCAGGCATGGGTTAATCCTTTTGCTGCTAATTCTTCATTCTAGCAGTCAGCTCTCTCTCTTCTAATTATGCTTTCATTTGCTATTTCTGTTTATCTTCTTAGTTGATTTAAAGCGTTGGGCATATATGTTAAAAAATTATGAGTGCATAAAATAAGTATATGCATGTAACCTATTGGAAAGCGAGAATAATGTTTCATCAAAAATTAATTTTTTCCTTTCTATGTTCTATATCAAGAATTCAAGATACTACCATACCTAAATAGCTATTTAGTAGTTTATACTGCTAAAACAACATCTTCTTCTACTCATTCTAAATATCCTCTTCTACGTAAGTGAAATAATAGGACTTTGAGAATATTTATCGGCTTTTACAGATTCAGCAGCTAATCGATGTGAACAAAAAAATAAACTTGATTGAAATTTCTCTCCTTTTTGAGAAAAAAATACAAGGCATGGATAATTTAGTTCAATTTGTACTGTCTAATTGAAAGCAAAAGCAGTTGTTAGCATTTTATCGTAGGTATCCCCAACTATTTCACACTCGAGAAATTAAACTCAAAACAATAGTAGAAATCTAAAAAAAATGCCTAATTCATTCAAGAATTGCCTCAAACACCTAAAAAGTAAAATCGACGGACAGATTAAATTCTCTGAGCAATAAATCCCTAGCGTGCCATAAAGATTAAATAGAAAAACATGGGCGAAGAAGAAGAGGAGGAAAACTCACAAGAAACAACGATCCAAACGGGAAAATTCACAAAAGTGCAAAGATAAGATCAGCAAAGCTTTTCTGATAATGGTGATACTGAATTTGCAATAAACTGGCTGTTAACCTTTTGATACAAATAACCTGCATCTGCCAAGTATCTCAAAGAGTTGCCTGCATGATACCGATAAGAACAAGAAGAGTGAGAAGAGAGAAGCGAAAGAAGAGCCTGTACAGTGCGGTGATTGCCAGGTTTTGAAGTGAAACATTAAAAATTAGATGAAAAGACAAAATTATCCTTGAAGTGTGAAGCAGGCATGTCGTCCAGATGTGTGCTAAGTCCCTCTTATTAGATAGGAGAATATTTTGGCTATAAAAACGTAGCCTTAAATTGAATTTATAAGTTAGTTCTAGTATTATTCACAATCTAGTAGAACACAACTGTTCATCAAAAAGTAATAAAAGTGTACTATACAATATTTAGGGCACACATTCATCATTATTCAGCACCAAACTAGGATTCGAACTTGTGAACGAAAATCATCCCGCGGTAAATTAGAACATGATACCGTAAGCTCCCAAACAATAACAGAAGTTAGGGCTTTAATTGCATATCTATCGAAAATGAGCCAGCAACTTATAAGCAGTGACTTGTTTAGAAAAAAACCTAGCAAAGTAGTAGCAAATCAAGTCTTTGTGGGACATTTGTCATTGCTTATGGACTCGGACGAAGATGAACGTTCTATTCTTAGTGTATTTATTTGCAATACAACAATAACAACAATAAAAAAAATTCGTAATTCCATAAAGCAGTCTGGGAATGGTAGAATATACATATATATCCCAACGTTTTCTGGGTTCAAGGATGAATCTGTTTGCAATATTTAAATTAATTGGACTAATATACTTTAAGTACCACAAGGTTAAATCGAAAAAAAAATAATATTTTAAATTCAATTTATTCGTCTATGTTTATAAAGAAACAAACCAACCATGTGTCACAAGTATAGTTAGTACACATTGCTTCAGTTACGGTATCTGTGTTGAGGTTCTTGTTTCCTCCTTCCCTTCTCATTCTTTTCCATAATAATCATATTCATCAATCAACATCTTCTCTTTCCCATTTTTCTTCTCCTTTCATCTATATTATTTACTGCACAATCATGTGGCCATTAACATTAATTTATTCACAAACAAACAATACTTACACAGTTTGTACATAACCAATTATTCTTCATTCCTTTCCTATTAGTAAATCCAAAGCTTCTTTCTTCTTGTTCTTGTTTTCTTTATTTAATACAAAACAATTTAATGTGCCTTTGTCTCCCCTACCCCTCCTTCAACCTACCTTCCCTCAATTCCTGCCCCTTATGTCCCATTTCCAGTTATACATTTTCCTTCTTTTTGGTAAAGTACTCCACTTAACAATACTTTCAAATCTCTCTTTGTCTTTTCTTTCTTGTTTCGTTATCTTAGGAGGTGTTTGGATGTCTTCGGCAGAGGGTCTATCAGAAACAGTCTTTCTATCCTTCTAGGTAGGTGTAAGGTTGCGTACATCTCACCTTCTCAAATCCCACTTGTGAAAAAATACTGAGATTGTTGTTGTTGTTGTTTGGATGTAAGAATTATAAAATTCCGAAAAAAAAAGTGAAAAGAGTTTCAAGTTAAAAATGACATTTGAAAATTATAATTGTGTTTGGACATAATATACAATCTGAAGCTGTTTTTGAATTTTTGTGAGTGCTTTAAAGTGAAAATTCTAAAAAATAATTTTATGGAGTTTTTCAAATTTTAAAAAATTTAGAAATTCAATTTCAAGTGAAATTTGAAATTTTCACGGCCAAATATTCTTTCCAGAAAAAAGTGAAAATCTTTTATGGCCAAACAAGCCCTTATATTTACACTAAACCTCATCTCCTAAAACCCACTATATATGAAAACAATTCTTGAAAATCAAATCAAAATTATAATCTTCTTTTTTTCTTTTTAATTATTGCATTCTTCTTGAGAGAGAAGAGCCAGAGATGGGCATGATTTTCAATGTTCATTTTCTTTTGCCTTCTCTCTGGCTCTTCTTCTTCTTCTTGAACACTCCTCAAACTATTACCTATGCACAAATTGCTCAAACCCCATTTTCTTCTACACCATTTTTAACAACCCCACCACCCCAACCTCCCACCCCATATAGATCTAGAGAATCACCATTTAGACCAAGCATAGCAGTAGTTGTAGCAATTCTCACAACAATTTTTTCCATCACATTTTTATTACTCTTATATGCAAAACATTGTAAGAGGGGTCCATTCGGAACCACCACCACCACTGCCGCCTACGGCGGAGGAGGAGTTCCGCCGCGGTCAAGCTTCAGAAAAAACTCTGGTATTGACCGTACGGTGATTGAATCTTTACCCGTTTTTAGATTCGGGTCTCTCAGGGGGCCTAAAGCAGAGGCTTTGGAATGCGCTGTTTGCTTGAACAAATTCGAAAACAGTGAAATCCTACGGTTATTACCCAAATGCAAACACGCATTTCACGTTGAGTGTGTGGATACTTGGCTTGATGCACATTCCACGTGTCCTCTTTGTCGTTACAAAGTTGACCCAGAAGATATTCTTCTTATCTCACATGAAAATAATGGTCCCCAATTAGAGAGAAAATCTTTTTCAAATTCTACGTCATCATCGCCGGCGAAAGAAAACAAGAGGATTTATTCGTCGGGAAGACATTCGTCGGCCGGAGAAAGAGGAAGTTCGTCGTTACAGATAATAGTAGAAACTCCAAAAGAGGAAAATGGTGGAACGGCGTCGTTTTTGAATAAAAGAATGTCGTTAGACAGTTGGAATTTTTACAAGAAAAAATGTAAGTCCACTAACTCAATATCATCAAGGAGAAAAGATACGATGTTATTACCGGCGCCGGAAAAAAATAACCACCGTATAGATGCGGCGGAGGATGTAGCGGAGCAAAGGCGGCTGGAACACCGGATAATAATTTATGGGGATGAATCAGAGGACAGGTCAGCAAGTGGGGCCCAATATAGATGGAGTGACGTGGAAGCTTGTGATATGTTGTTTTTACGGTCGGAGATGATATTGAGCGAGAGCCGTAGATATTCGGGGTCGAGAAAATGGACGGCTGAGATTGAAAGAAGAAACTGTAATAGTAATAGCGGGAGTGGCAGAGGAGTAATAAATGAGAGAAGCGTGTCGGAAATGACAGGTATGAGTAGGTTTAGGAGCAATGAAGATGAAAGAGGAAGACAATTAGAGAGACAAAGACAAAGAAGAGGAGCAGTAACGAGGTGGTTGGATTGGATTTCAAAATCACAATCTCTGTCTTTGCCAGCTGCACCTTCTTCTACTTGTTCTGCAACTTGATATATAGCTGTAAGTTTTTTGAGGCATCTTTTATGAAATAGACGAAAGAAATGATGATGAAGTCATATTTGTAATAGTTTAGTGTACTTTAGTTTTGTAGTTTGACGAGACTATACATTGATTTATTAGAATGTGAAAAGTGGTAGTAGTAAAAGTAGTAACACAAGTTTTGAACTTTTTTGGATTTCCACTTCTGTGAAAAGTTGTGTAGTAATAATAGTACAAAAGTGAGGGGGTGGTAGGGGTGTGGATGAGTATCATTTTGAAATGTGACAATTTGAGATGCTTATCGTCATTTTTTATTTAGACACCTAAATTGAAGGATGTACCTATTAAGCACTTATACTATACTAAATTTATTCCAGGTAGACACTTTTTTTTACAATTAGTCAAATTTACAAAGTGTGTGCAATGTACTCGCGACTAACGTGACGAATGACAAATTAAAAAACGGATATTTATCATTTTGAGTTTAAAAAAAAAGAAGAAAAACTATTTTAAAATCTATTTAGTAAACAAAATAAAACAACATTCTCAAAAAGAAAAAAACTTAATTTACACTCAATCAAAAAATGACACATTATTAACAAAAGAAAGACAAAAAAAGGACACATTAGTGTTCTTGGTGTTTTTCACTATCTTCATGTCTATTCTTGTTCCAATCACGATTTAATCCAAAATTCAAGAGAAACTCCTCCAAATTTGTTATAAATTTAACTAAAGATTCTCTACCAAGATTCTTAGACAACCCCAATATTAATTTCTTAATTTTGGAGTTGCCTTACCAAGAGACGCAAGCTCAAGAAAAGGGTACAAAACCGGTACTGGAGAGGGAAGCAGCAAGGGTGCTAGATCTAACAGACGGATCGATTGGTCCGAACCGAAAAGGTATTCCGACCGCTGGGTTTTCACTATTGCACCACCATTCATTTCTAGAGGCTCATCAATGAAATCACCAAAAGTTGGAGCTGAAACCAGTGGGTGGTGGGGTGAAGAAGAAGGGTTCGGCGATGGGGTTAGAGAGGAGGGTGGCAGAGGATTTGGTGGTGAAGAGGGGGGAGTTTGGCGGTGGCTAGTTGTTTGGAGAAGGGGCTGACAGCTGTTTTTTTTGTGTGAAGAAGAAGGGTTGTTGGTTCAAACATTCAAGTTAAATCAATAGTAGAGGCACAACAATGGTGAAAGTGGAGGAAACAACAATGAAAATGGTGGTGGATATAAAGAAGAAGAAGAAGGAAAAAAAACAAAAAAAAATCTGTTTTTTGGGCTCTTCACGCGCCTATATTGGGTGAAACTCACTCTATGTGCCAACTCAGCAAGAAGAGTCAAATTGGAACAAAGTTCATGTAATGTACGTGCTCATTAGGAACACCTTAAGTTCAGGTGTCTAAATGAAAAATCGTGCCAATTTTAAGTATCTTCGTATGTATTCAGCCTTCTCAAAATTTATGTGGTGTGGCATACCTTTGTATTGAGAGCCCGAAACCTTTTTAATCATTTTTTGAACAAAAAACACTTTTGTACTACTTTAAAAAAAAGTTACATAAATGAGTAAAACGCAGTATTATACTGCGAATTACTTTAACGAAAATTTTGTCGTTAAAGTAATTCGCAGTATAGTACTGCGTTTTACTTTAATTTTTTTTTTTGTAATTCGCAGTACTATACTGCGTTTTACTAAGATGCTGGGCTGGGCCTATATTTTATTAAAGCTGTTCGCAGTATTATACTGCGTTTTACTTAAAACGCAGTATAATACTGCGAACAGCTTCAATAAAATATAGCCCCTTCTTCTTCCTTGGACCACTGAACCGAAGAAAACC